GGGGGGGGGGGGGTTCTCGGATTTTGTTGGACCTGGGGTTTGCGATCGGGGAATCAGGTAGGGTTCGTGGGGTGGCATTGCGAATCTGGTGTGGTGACCCTAGATCGCATGGCATTCGAGGGCTTAGGGCTGGTTTAGAGCTCAATGTTTGAAGTTTGTCATTTAGATTCGGGGTCCGGAACCCTCAACCGAGCCCGGAAACCGGAACCCGTCGGAAAAGCTGGACTGCCAGAGCAGGTGTTGGTAAACATCTACGAGGCTGCCTCTCGGCTCCTGTTTGGAAAACCATAGCTGCTGTAGAAAGTGCCCTGGTGGTCCAATTACACCCTCTTTTGGACTTCTAGGTATCCAAAATCATAAATAGGGACTGCTCGGATTTTTTTTTTTTTTTTCTGAGGGTTCCGTTAACAAGTCTGCAGATAACACACAGTTCGGGGCCGATCGTCTATACCTTAACCTACCAAAACATTTTTTTTGCAGCGTCCTCTAAAGAAGTCTTAGGGACTCTTGCAAAAAGTAGGGGTTGGTAGTACAAGGTAGATAGGATCTTCCACTTTGGGGTGCTTGGTTTGTTCGGGTGTCTCGAAGCATTAACATACAGGCCGAAATACTTATCACTATTATTCATTAGGGAAGCCTTCCAAAAAGTAGGATTTGATAGTTCTAGGTAGATAGTATCTCCCTCTTTGTGGCGTTTGGAGTGCTTGGTGTCTCGAAGCTTTAACATGCAGGCCGAAATGCTTACCGCTGTTATTCCTTAGGGCTCCTGATGCTTCTACGATAATGCAGTGGGTAAGGCCCCGCGTATTATGTGGGCTTTTGGTGCCAGCCGACAAGGCCATACACCTTCTTCGAAGATGGCGCATGCCGCCCTCATCGCAAGACAGAAACCTGCAAGAAAGCTACTTTAAACCGCAAAGCCCACATGTAATGAAGATTCTTAAAAATCTTAAACCCCATAAGCAGGAAAGAAAAACCAGCGCTGTTTCAGGAGGGCCGAAAGCAGCCGATCATTCGCAGCCGCCTGAACCTCCGTGTTCCTTGAAATGTATTGTTGTGTGTCGTGTTGGTCGTTTGGTGCTTCGGGGGCTTATGGGGAAAGGCGAATACTGTACTTGTTGCGGTGTAGGGATTTGCTCTGCGGGCTTTGGGATGTTTTAATGTGGAAGTTTGGGAGGCATCTTATCATAACAGTAGTCAGAAACAATAGTATAGTAACGTCAGTATAGTATCCGGCCACGGCAGACTATACGACAACACCATGCCGCAACATCCCCAACACGATATTCTTACTATATAGTCAGGCTGTAAATCCAACTTCCTACTCTTTAAACCCTACGTTTTGGTCAGTGCTGTATCAACCCAAAAATAAGGTCGACATCTTAACGGGGCCTCAGTGGCCTCAGGGCTGGTCGCCGGAACCGCCAGGGTTTCAGAAAGTGGGTTTACGGGTTTAGGGGCCATTAATCTCATAAGGGCCTCCAGCTACACACTATTTGCTAATCTCAAGGCCAAACGACAAAGAAAGACCTGGGAAAACAAAGCAGGTGTTGCCTCGCAGAGCCACACAAAAGGCGGCTTTTCCAGTCACTCTTGGTAAGCCTATGCCCACTTGAAACTCTGAGGATGCCAATTAGCATCCAAAGCCTGGAGGCTCCATATATACTACCATTACGGAATTAGGTCCTTAAAATCTTACTAAGGATAGTCTTTTGGGACCTAATTCCATAATGGTACTATATGTGGAGCCTCTAGGAAGTTTACGAATGAAGGATCCCTAAACCCTAAACCCTGAACCCTAAACCCTAAATCCTAAATCCTAAACCGTATGATACCATATCCAGGCTCTTTGGGGTGCCCGGCTAGTTTGCAGACTCCGCAAGGCTATTCTGGCCGGCGCATCACATGCAGGCCTGTCGCTTCTTTTGAAAGTGTTGTGTGTGTGTGTGTGTGTTTGGGTTTAGGGTCATTTGAAAGTGTTGTGTGTGTGTGTGTGTGTTTGGGTTGTGGGTTATGTTTAAGGTTCGGCTGCTTTTTTGGAAAGCTGGGAAGGCAGGAGTAGACTACCGCCTAAACCCCCCTAAGCCCCAAAACCCTCAACCGTCAGCCCTAAGCCGCCAAACCCTAAACCCTAGACCCCCAAAGCCCTACACCCCGGAGGGGTGGCGTACGACCCTCTAGGTTAAGTACAGCTTTAGGCCCGGGGTCCGGGATCTCCAAACCCTGGGAAGCACTGAAACCCTAAACTGCCAGCAGGGAAAGCAGACAGTGTTTCAAGACTGGCATGAGGCCCAGGAGCAAACCCTAAACTCTAAACCCTGAACCCTAAACCCTCAGCCCTTAAGCCTAAACCCTGAACCCTAAACCCTGAACCCTAAACCCTAAACCCTCAACCCCAAAACCCTGAACCCTAAATGCAGCGTTGAGCCCACCAGAGTTTTGTTTGTGGATTCAGCCCTCGAAGATAAGACGTGCTCGGGTTTAGGGTTTAGGGTTTAGGGTGAAGGAAAGCTCTGAACTGAATGCCCCGTAAGGAGCAGGCCGAGCGTGCTCAAAGGATGCGTGCAAATGTGGCATGTAGGTCCTGAAGAAGAATAGGGGCCTCAATAATTACCTGTATTATTTTTTTGGGGGTGGTTCTTTTATTATAGTTATACTATAAGGACCCCCAAACCCTATTCTAATTATCCAGGCCCCTACATTACCTCTGTCGCAGGCCCGTAGTTTGCGAACCCATAAACTCTATTCAACCTAACCTAAGAGCCTTAGGTCCCTTTGAGCCGCACACACTGATGCCAGTAAAGTGCTCAAATGTCTTTCGACAGGCCACTGCCATTCATGAACTAGCATAACAGTATAACGCAGGTGTTGTGTATGTACATATACACACACAGAGTCAGTTAATGCGAACAGACTTCGATGCCTCTTACAATTC